TTGATGTTTTCGAGCGGAGTGCCGATGGAAATTGGTGCGTTTGGGTACAAACGGTTGTAATGCGTGGTGATGGAACACTCCGACGGACCATAACAGTTGAACAATGCGACAATGGGGCTCCACAAGTCTTTTAACGATGCAGGGATTGCCTCGCCACCAACCAGCACAGTCTTGAGATTCGTGTAGTGTGCCGGGTTGCCTAGAAGTGACAGTCCTGTTGCCGTGCACATGAGGACGTCTACATCGGTCACATTTGTCAAGCCATCCTTGGACCTGAACACAAGTGTTGCTCCAGCCGACAGTGTCTTCCAGATCTCCCATTGGCAAACATCAAATCCAATCGCCATGAACTGCATGACGCGGGAGCCTGGGACAATGCCAACTTCGGCACAGCGAAAGGACATGGCATTCACAGCCCCGGCGTGCAGCACGGGAACACCTTTTGGTTTCCCAGTTGACCCGGAGGTATAGACAAGGTACGCTTCGTCGTGTCGAGTGGCCTGGTGCATTTTCCGTGGCAAAAAGGGTTTCGGTTGCGCGTTGAGTTCAGACGAATTGATGAAAACTGTTGGAAGGTCCAACTCCATTGCGCAAAGACTGTTGGAAAAGTTGTTGACAGAAATCACGGCACAAACGTTGGCGTCTTTGATAATATACGCCAAACGCTTGGCTGGGAAAGTGCCGTCGAGAGGCACCATCGCACCACCAACTTTGAGAACTGCGAGCAGAGCAATTGGAAACTCTAGGCAACGTTCCATCACCACAGCCACACGAGAGCCCACACCTATGCCCATCCCAGCAAGTTCCACGGCTAGGGTGCTTGCTTGAGCATTGAGGTCTCCGTAAGTCAAGCGATCAGCTTCCGACTCAATGGCGACAGCGATGGGATAAGCCACGGCGCGAGCTTCAAATGCGCCATGCAAAACTTCGAAGGGCAATGGAACTTGGGGGCCGTACGCAGCGGCGACTATCAGCTTCGTATGCGACGTACACAGGAGCCATAACTTTGCAACCAGTTCGTTCCTTGTCACAGCTTCCACCACTTGTAGCATCGTCTCATCCAGTTCGTTCAGAATCAATTGTGCTTGACTAGGGTGAACTCGGCATTGCTGAAAATACATCACAGCCAGTACACTTTCTTGGTGTGGTTCAAGCGTCAATTCAATTGAATACTCGAGCGAGCTCAAACCGCGATCCACTTCCATTTCCACAACCTCTCCGGCAACGTCATTCCGTGTCACATCATCAACATATTGTTGTTGATACACCAGCAACGTGTCGAACAAGTCGCCCTCGATGCCGCTCCATCGCTTGACATCCGTCAGGCTCGCGTGCGAGTGCTCCATCGTCGCCACGCGGTCCGT